AACTCCAGAGCTCAAGTGATCCTCCCGCCTTGGCCTTCCAGAGTGCTGTGATGACAGGCACGAGCCACCATGCCTGGCTCCTATTTTCCATTTCTTTATACGAATTATTAAAAACACATGCACTCGATGGTAAACATTAATAAAATTAATGACTTACTGTTGCATCATGGATGTTCTCAAGCGAAAGGCATCTGTGTGTGGTGGCGAAGCACACGTGCTGGCCTGGCTGGCGTCGCCGCCTCCCTGCTGAGGAACAGTTTACCCACCTTTGCTCTTTCATGGGTGAAAACGTTGATGCAGTGGAAAAGCAAATGCCGTCTTAGCGTAACGAGGATGGTTCTGACCTGGAGGGTCCCTGACAGGTCTTGGGACCCCCACTTTGAGAACCGCTGCCTGGGGACTGCTCCGCGGGTGGCATAGTCGCTGGGTCCTCGCTGAGAGGTGGCGGAGAGCTGCCCTGGAGTCTCAGTGGTCTCTCTCCACCAGATCTGCCCACGTCCTTTGCGGGTTCATTGCTGGGCTCGAGTCGGAGTTTATGGAGACGCTGTCGGATGAAGAAGTGCTTCAGTCTCTGACCCAAGTGCTCCGGAGAGTGACAGGTACTTGGCACATGCGGGGGGTTGCTGCCCCGCCAGCATCGGCCGATCTCTGCACAGGAACTAAACTTCCCAGAGCAGAGGGGAGCTGAGCTGGGCTCTGGTCTCCAGGGACAATCCTTCCTCCTCCTCCTGGAGTCAGTGACAGTTCTCTGAGGAACTAAAATGGCTTTGCAAACACTTTCTATTTCTTTTTTCTGAAATATGCCACCCACACAAGTGCAGTTGTCCTTAATCAGACTTTTACAGAGGAGGAAGCTGAGGCCCAGAGAAAGTGCTGGTGCCTCTCAGTGTGCTCAGTTTTCTTCCTGGGTGGCGTCTCTCATTTTAAACTGCTCAATCTTTAAGATGAAAAGCCAACCGCAGACACGCAGGTGAGAGTTCTGGGCTAATGCTGCGTCTCTGCCGCTCAGGAAACCCCCGGCTCCCGGCGCCCAGGAGCCTGCTGAGGTCCCGCTGGCACAGCGCCCCGTACACCAGGGGCTCCTACAGCTACGTGGCCGTGGGCAGCACTGGGGACGACCTGGACCTGCTGGCTCAGCCCCTGCCTGCGGACGGCGCCCATGGCCAGGTATGTGAGGTGTCCCATGCCCCGGTGGGGGGGCTGTGGGGGGCCCCCTGAGGCTCAGTGCTGCAGGAGCCTGAGCCAGTGACCCGTGGGCCGGGACCCCCAGACTCAGAAGCCATTTTCTTTTTGAAACTAAGACTTTTTAAACGTACTGTTTTCGTCTGAATTGTACACAGACATAACTTAAGGAGTCGGAGAGCTCCACAGTACTGGCTAACACAATAAAATAAAACAAATAGCTGCTTCTCCCCTTCCCAGACTCTGCTTCCGGCTGATTCTGGTCTCTGAGTTTACCGTGTGTCTGAAAACATGTTTACATGCCCACTTTTTAAAAACATTATGGAAAATGTCTGATGTATACAAAAGTAGGCAGAGCCTTGGGCACCACCCCAGACACGGACTGGGTCCCAGCCAGGCTCCTCCCGAGCCCTGTCGTCATTTAGTACGTCTCGCACGTAATGTCATCTCACCGCAGATGTTTCGGTGCATATCTCTAAAAGATAAGGACACTCTTTAAAAATTATGTAACTATAATGCTATTTTCCCACTTAAAAGTTGACAGTAATTCCCCAATATTACCCGATACTCGGGCAGTGCCCAGTGGTCTCTTTAGTTTGCCTGTTTGGAGATGTTCCTCCTTGGACTTCGGGTTTAGGCATTGCTGGTTGACTGCTCCCCACAGCAGGGAGGTTTCCCTGCCTCCCACTCTGCCCACCCTGGCCTCAGAGCTCTCCCCACCCTCCTGCCACGGGATTTGGTGATTTTGGCGGGATCACTATTAGTGTTTACGTGATCTTGTTTTCTACACGCCTGAGCACTCAGGGTGCAATGGCTTCCTTTCATGCCCTCTTGTAGATTTGCATGTATGAGTCAGTGCGTGCGTGTTTCTCTGCCCAGACTCTGCGATCCAAGTCAAATCCCCATCCTAACTGCAGCTCTCCTTCCCAGCTGCAGATTCTGTTCGCGGGGGAAGCCACACACCGGACCTTTTACTCCACGACGCACGGGGCTCTGCTGTCCGGCTGGAGGGAGGCCGACCGCCTCTTGGGTCTGTGGGGCCTGCAGGTGCGGCAGCCCAGGCCCAGGCTGTAGCTGGCCCTGCCTGCTCTGCCCCTGTGCTGGGGAGGCTGGGGCCCTGCTTTCCTCTGACAGATGATTTTCAGTCTGGCTTGGATTGGGGTTGTCAATGACAGTCCTGGAGCTGAGCACAAAGTCTTCCTGAAGCACATGCGGGACACTGCGCTAGGGGCCCTGCCTCACACATAAAACACAGGAGTCACCGTGTCTAGAGTCGTTCTTCCTGCCTCTGGCTGCGGCATCTGCTGCCGTTGTCTTCATCCTGCCCCAGGCCCAGGTCAGCACCGGGCCTTGTGTCTCTGACCCTCCCACAGGGCCCCCCTGCATTCCCCAGGCTCTGGATCCTGTGGATGCCCCTCGTCCCTGATGCCTTAGGATGCCCCCGAGTGATCATCGCAGCTGCCCAGCATGGCTGAAAACCTCCCTGCTCATGGACGGACGCTGCACCCACCACATGGTGCCCTGGGGCGACGGCGTGCAGAGGGGGCACCCTGTCCTCACCTGGACCAGAGGCTTTCTAGAGAAAGGGAATAGTAAGGCCTGAAGAATATGGCAGGCATGGGAGCTTGTGAGTTTTGGGCATTGCTGGGGTGCTGGGCAGTGTTGGGGTAGTGGGCAGTGTTGGGGTGTCAGGCAGTGTTTGAGTGTTGTGCAGTGTTGGGGTGTCGGGCAGTGTTGGGTACTGGGCAGTGTTGGGGTACACCAATGTCATGCTTAGCTGCCCTCCCATCTCTTCTCACTGCACCCTCACAGCCACCTGGGGAATGGCCAGTTTCCTCCATTTCCCGAGCTGCGAGGACAGACCACAGACTTGGGGTCGGTAACTGCCCATTGCTGCCGCTGCTTGGGCGGCTCTCCCGGGCACTGAGGCCTGGAAGGGAGGTGGGTGCATCTGGAGAGTGGCTCTTCCAGGAAGGCAAGGGATCCCCGCAGAGGTCCCCCCGCCCTCCCAAGTGTGGGGCTGCTCGAGGGCTTGTACAGGAGCCGCTGGCCTCAGCATCTCAGGGCAGTCTGGGTCCTGCTCTGCCTGGGTCTGGGCCCCTCTCAGGACCTCTCCGGCCTGCAGGCACCTCTGTCCGAAACACAGCCAGGCTCATGCCCTCCGCCCAGGCACCCCAGCCTGGACCTGCAGGGCCCCAACCTCCTCACCTTCCCAGGGGCCTGCCCTGAGCCTGACCCTCCTGGCATTGTGTGTGCTGCTGTGCCACCAGACTGGGCTTGCAGGTGACAGCTGCCCACCGGATGGCTGAGAGGAACCCCACATCAGCGGGGTGTATTGTGGTTCTGTGGTCCGGAGACTGAAGGAACGTAGCTTCCTTCAAGTGCAAAGATCTTTATCATTAACATTTAGGGTTTCAGCAATTCTGTGTCCAGAGGGACAAAGGCAGGCAAGACGCTTTCTGCCTCCTCTGGGTGGGAGAGACGTGGCGAGCTGGGTCAGGGTCCTCGGCCTGAAAGCCTCGGAGTCTCTGCAACCCTAACCCCAACCCAGGCACCGTCACAGCTAAGGATTAGGAGCAACAAAGCCACAGTGATAATATTTTTGTACTGAGAATCCGCACATTGGCATTTTAGGAGCTTGTTTCAAACCTGTGTTACAGGAACCCTCCTGGGAGCCACTGTGTCCATCAGGGTCTGACGGAGGATGTTTGGGCCTCGTATCAACAGGTTTAATTTAGCAGAACTGCAGTCAATATTTGGAAGGGTTTATGTGTGTTAACGGGGAAAAAAAGCCAAACTCTAAAATAATTTTAAAGAGATTTACTCTAAGCCAAATTTGAGGACCGTGACCCGGAGTCACGCCCAAGAAGCCTTGAGCAAGGGGACTCTCTGTGGCTGGGTTGCAGTTTGGTTTTACAGATTTCAGGGAGACAGGGGTCACAGATAAGTCATAAATCAGTAAGTGGGAGGCATACATTGGTTTGGTCCGAAAAGGTGGGCCATCTTGAAGCGGAGGGCTTACAGGTTATAGGTGGGTTTAAAAATTCTTTGACTTGTAATTGGTTAAAGACATGAAGCTTTGTCTAGAGGCTTGGAATGTTTTAAGATAAGAAGCTCTTAATCAGAGATAAGCCACTGGGCATAGATTTGTTGTGCAAGTTGAGGCCCTGCAGGTGTGTCTTGAATATGCTTAGGCCTGTTAATGGGTTACAAAGGATGTCACCAAGAAGGGAGGGGGCATGATGAAGCATGTCTGACCTCCTTCCTTCTGGCAGGCAGTTTAGTTTCAGGATATTCCTTTGGCCAAGAGGGGGTTCATTCAGTCAGCCGGTGGGGTGGGGGGCATGAGCCTTAAAATTTTATTTTAGTTCACATGTGTTACCTTAAAACCCGAAGCACGTGAAAAGAAAATGAAGAACTGCATCTACAAGGTGAACTTAAAATGTTGGACGTTTTAAACCACGTTTGTGAAAAGGGACCCGACGTTGCCAGGGACCGCTGAGTTCTGTGGCACTCACACAGGATATGCTTAAGGGAGAGCTAGGATTTAAAGAACGTACTGAGTGTTAACACATGGACGATTTACTGAAGAAACGCGCAGAGCCCAGGACCCCTGCATCCGCCCCGCCCCGCCCCTCCGGCTCGTAGCCCCGCCCCCCGACTCGTAGCCCCGCCCCTCCGGCTCGTAGCCCCGCGCGGCCGCAGGCAGCGTTGTGCGCACGCGCGGGCCGCGCCGTGGCCCTTCGGAGCGCCGGAACCGGGGAGCGCTGGAACTAGAGGCGCCGGAAGCCGGGGGCGGTGCGCCGGGAAGCGTTTCCGGGACGGCGGCGCCATGAGGCTGTCTCCGCGCGTGCTGTGCCGCGCCGTCGGGGCCACCTGGCGGGAGAGCTTCCCCCTGCACGGGCGCGATGTGGCCCGCTGGTTCCCGGGCCACATGGCCAAGGGTGAGGTCCGGCGGGGTCCCGCCTGCGGCCGCGGCCCCTCTGTTGTCCCGTCTGCGCCGGAGGCTCGGCCGCCGCGGCTCGTGTCCCAGGGTCGCCGCGAGCCGGCCGGCGGGGGTCGTTCTTGGGCCGCCCCTGTCCCGGGAGCCCCTACCCGCCACCGCCGACCCCTAGAAGTGCTACCCCCACTCTCGGCCCCCGGCCCCGCCTCCCTGGGCCTCTGCTCCCCACCCCTGCTCCCAAAGCCCCCGCCCCAGCTGGCCGAGCCGCCGGCGCCCCTTTCTGCGCCCGCCGTCTGTGCGCCACTGCTCGAGAAGCGGCAGGAGCGGCCCCGCCCCCTCCGCGGATCCTGCTCGACCCCTGACCTCGGGCCCACTGACCCGTGGGGACGGCCGGCCGTGGGGAGGGCACCGGGCTCAGCTCAATTCCTAGCAAGTCCCTTCTGTCCGTTTAGTTCCCTGAAGCGTGTTTCCCCGTGTTTTTGGAGAGGCATGATTTTCTGAATGTTATCGTCAGGACTAAACGAAATAGTGGGTGCGAAGGTACTTTCAAGTTGTAAAGTATTCAGCTGTATCTTCGCAACACGTTTGAAACACATCTGGACTCCTTTTTCGCCCAGTCTAAATGTTTGGTAATTTCTTACTGTTTGTCAAAATTCGGCCCCACAAGACGCGTCCAGCCCTCCTGGGTGTTGCGATGGCCACACTGCTGCCCCCTGGAAAGCTGCGCTTGTGCAAGCTGGCGTTCAAGAGGGGAGACTCTCTGGGGTGGGGGCCTGTGGGTTGGAAAGGGGACTTATGTGATGTTTCCTGTATGTAGATGGCAGGTGTCCTCAGTGCTGAGAGGCCACCCCGTGGGGACACTGTTGCGTGTGTTGTTCCTGGCTGGGGCACTGGTTCAGTGCGGTGGTCGTGTGCAAGCATTGTCGTCCCCACAGGGTGTCAGGGGCTTTGTGTGCCAGCATTGCTTTGTTGTACAGCCCAGACCAAGACCCGCAAGTTAAATATTCCACCCAGAGTCACCCACGTGTCAGGTGATGGAGATAGGACCTGGCGTTGACATGCCGCCACCCCTTTGGCAGGGCTGTGTGTTTCTGCCATGCCGCCATGGGTGTGGGACTTGGAGGGGCACTCAGCAGATGGCTACCGGTTATTGTTACTTAGTGAGCTTCACTCACATGTGGTCTTTTCAGGTTGTTGGTGGTGGGGTGTTCTGGACTGTCCAGTTTAAATCTGCTGCTCTCGAAAGGGTGCGAGTCACTTTGCTGAGGTGTCCTTCTGTTTTCCAGGGCTGAAGAAGATGCAGAGCTGCCTGAAGCTGGTGGACTGCATCGTCGAGGTCCACGATGCCCGGATATCCTTCACACTGCAGGGCGGCACCTCTCCTCAGGCAGCAGGCGCCTGCTTGGGTTGTCACCTGGCGTCTGCCCACCTCCTCTCTCTGGCCCCTGCCCTAGTTCGGCCAGCAGCCTCACCTCTTAATTAGCATTTAAAACGGTGGTTCTCAACTCTCATTGCATGTTAGAATTACCTGGGGAGGCTTTTAAAAATACCAGTTGCTGGGCCTCTTTCCGGAACAGTTCATCAGAATCTCTGGTGTGGGGTCCGGACAGCTTGTTTTTTGAAGCTGTGCATTGATACGTAGCATTGTTCATCTCGACCTCTGCCTGGCTCACCCAAGCTGTCCGGCACAGTCCAGCGGTAGAATTCTCTAGGTAGGACGTAAACCTCAGTTTAAATCTTCCTGCCAACTGGGGCTGTCCTCTTGTGCTTGAGGCATGAGTTGGCAAGAAGTGATGATTTGTTCATTGACGGCATACTTCTCAGACCTTGCTTTTGTTGTATTTGAGCAACATTTAGATTTTCTTTATGTAATGGAAATGTTGGTTTTAGCATTGTTACTGCCTGCCTCGTTAACCTCAGAAGTGTGTGGGGAAGATAAACCAGACCTTAACCCTAAGACAGTGTTGGCCTGGGCACAGCTAGTTACGTGGGTGCCCGCAGCTTCTACTGCTGGAATGTACTGGAAATAGTGGAGGATGAGGGACCATTTTCAGGGTTTGAAAAGGTTGTTTGCAATAAAGCGTAGGATTTCTTTGCTGTAGGCTGTCAGTATATCAGTTCTTGCAGTATCTCATGCTGGTCAAAAGTGTTTCCTGGTAGTTATTTGTTCAATTATTTTAAAAAATGAAGCCTGTAGGTATTATTTACTAGATGTGATGAGAGGACGTTTATTCTCCAGTAACTGGTCTGCCTTATCTAGCACATGGCAAGAAGCCGGAACCTGTGTGGTGGCCCCTGACGTCTGAGGAGAGGAGTCCCCAGGCTTGTTCTGAATGAGCACAGGGTTGGCCTCTGAGGGAAGAGTGACTCACAGCAAGTCCCTCTGTGGTGTGGGACCCGCAGCTTAACTGGACCTACACTGGGGCGTGGGAGATGCCTTGGGAACGTCACAGCTGGGCTCGATGGGAGAGATGCATCCCCAGGAAGGGCGGAGGGCTCAGAGGATAGAGATAAAAAGCTGCCTCCTGCCTGTGTCGGTGTCACGCGAGATGAGGCTCCCGTGTGTCGGTGTCACACGAGATGAGGCTCCCGCGTGTGTCGGTGTCACGTGAGATGAGGCTCCTGCCTGTGTCGGTGTCACGCGAGATCAGGCCCCTGCCTGTGTTGGTGTCACGCGAGATGAGCTTCCACAGTGAGTCCTGGGGCGCCTGGCTGTGGGGAAGGAGGGCTGAGGATGGTAGTCAGGAGGTGGAATCTTCAAGGAGGGTCTCTGTGGGTAGAACAGACCTGCCCACCTGCAGGTGCAGGTGCTGAGCCCATGTGGCAGACACCCCTCGTGTCCTTGGCAGTCACAGAGGGTGGCAGTGGTGGCTTGAGATATTCTAGTTAGGACTTTATGGGAGGCACGTTTTGTGGATCTTGCTCTGTTCACTGCTGGAGTGCAGTGACACAATCACAGCTCACTGCAGCCTCCAGCTCCTGGGCTCAAGTGATCTTCCTGCCTCAGCCTCCTGAATGAATAGTTGGGACTATAGGCACGCGCTACCCCGCCCAGCTAATTTTCTTTTTGTGTAAAGATGGAGTCTTGCTATGTTGCCCAGGCTGGTCTGGAACTCCCGGCCTCGAGCGATCCTCCTTCCTCAGCTTCCCAAAGTGCTGGGATTACAGTCGTGAGCCATTGCACTCAGCCAGAGGCACTTTTTTTGAGTGATGAGATCATTGATTTTGAGTTTATGTATCCTGGCAACCAAACAGTGACTTAGTTATAAAATCTTTCTCTGAACTTCATTTTGTTTTTGCCACTGGGTAGCTGGCACCCTTACGTGGCCTTCACTGGTGGGGTGGTGGGGGAGGGTGCCCATTCCCCAGCCAGGAGGGCAGAAGTGGAATTGGTTTTACAGCTCTTAGGATGTGAGGATGGGCCGGCCGTTGTCCTTGCTCTGGGCCTGGGCTTCCTTCTCTGCCCATCGCCTTCTGACAGTGGTGCCAATCTGCGTGACAAGACAAGGAAAAATAAATTCATTGGCTGGTAAAGCTTTGAAGCAGTTTTTGCCTTAATTTTGCCACATCCCACTTTCAGGCCGAAACCCTCTGTTTCAGGAAACCCTTGGGCTTAAGCCTCACTTGCTGGTCCTCAACAAAATGGACTTGGCAGATCTCACGGAGCAGCAGGTAATCGGGCAGTGCGGCTGTTTCCCAGGTCTCTGTACCTGCTGGAGGTTGCTTGGCTCACTCTGTGTCAGTTACCCAGACAGGCCTTGCTTTGCAGGAGCGTTCCAACGCGGTTCCTCAGCATAGCATGCTCCCCTGTCACGTGTGCTTGTGGTGTGTGCGCCTCCTGAGGGTGGGTCAGTTGTGCTGCTGGAGCCCAAGTGTGCTTTCCTCAGCCATGGTGCTGCTCTGTGTCTGCTTTGTCCCACGTGGTGGCCACATGTGGCTGTGAACACCTGACATGTGGCTCCTGCCACATGTGACTTTCACAGTTCACTGAATTTTTAAATACTTTAAGCTTTAGTGGCCACTGGTCTGGTCTGCGGTCTTCGTGATGGCTGCAGTGTCCCAGGCGTCAGGCTCGCCGGTGTGACCCGGGGCCTGGCTGCTGAGTGCTGAGTGCTGAATGCAGCACCGTGAGAGCCCGAAGCTGGAAGGGCTGGGTGGGGGATGGTGGATTAGCTCAGGGGTTTCTCAAAAACTGGGGAGACCCGGGCAAGGCATCTGGAGAAAAAGAAACATGAACACTCTGGAAATGTCATTTTTGAAGCGTTCATCTCTGGTTTTCTTGCCCTGTTGTCAAATCCTTCGAAGAGTAGATATCAGAATCTTTTGAATTCAAGCCAAGTTTTTAAAAAGTTGTTAATGGTGCAGAATTTTTGTTGCAGCAGCAATAATGCCTTTCACGTTTCTCAGTTGGCTGTGGGGCGTTCAAGGTACTTAAACCCCAACCACAAGACTCCACCACAGGTTTCCAGGGAAACGTTATCTACTGAAGCCACAGAGTTGCTTCGTTCATTGAGGGTCCTGGCAGGAGGCATTTCCCATGTGACAGCCACACATGTCTGATCGGTTTTCACTGCTTTTGAAGCTTTAGTTCTTTATCATCACAGTTCTTTTAGTTGCTTCTATTAGTCGAGGCTACTTCTGCCCTCAGAATGCCAGTGTTTGTGGACTGGTGGGTGCCTGTCTAGGACAGGGCCACAGCACCGTCTCACCTGGTCGGGAGGCAAGAGCAATGTCGGGTGCTTCCGCAGCATCAGGACAGAAGTGTCCGGGCGGCCCTGCCGTCTGCCTCCCCGAGGAGGGGTCTGGCTGAGTCCGTCCCCTTAGCAAGTGGCTTTGTGAGTGCTTTTGTTGTGCTTGGTGTCAGCGTGAGTCATGGTAATGCATAACTGAAAGTAGGCTATTAAAACCAACTGAATTAGTGAATGACTTGTTGATTTGGGCATTGGTCGTGGTTTTAGGTCAGGAGCTGGTCAAATGATACAACACTGATTTTTAAAAATACGATACAGCTTCACAATGATTTCACTGAATGTTAAAGCTATTATAGTAACTTTATATTAACCTCAGTTTACTTTCGGCTTTTAAAGTATTACACATCCTGTACTCTGTAATCAGACTGGGCTCAAGCCTTCGTGTAGAGCCGAGTGCATTTTGTGAGAGGTAGACTGTGCAAGAGCGGCGCGATCACTCAACGAAGACCAAAACCCCGTGGTTTCAGTACAGCCCAGTTCACCCTCACTGTGAGCACAGACGGTACCGACGTCCCGGGGGCAGCTGTGTCTGCTGCGTCCTCACCGCCGGCGCCCGGACTGTGACGGCACTGTCCCTGCCACGGCCCTTCCCTCCCATCCTCTGTGGCGCCTTCCCTGGGGCCGGCAGGGGGCCGGCCGTGCTCCTCCGATCCCCAGCCCTCCCTGCGGGGGGCCATCGTCGCCTGTGCCCACGTCTGCCTCGGTCCCAGCTCCTCGCGGCCAGGGTGTCGGGCCTGCCGTGGCTGTGAGCGCGTGGACACTCCCGGCAGAGCTGACCTCCAACCTCAGACCCTCGGATGGCACGTTTCACCCACCCGTGTTTTCACTCAGTATTTAAAATGGGAATGTCTTGTCTCTTTCAGAAAATTATGCAGCACTTAGAAGGAGAAGGCCTAAAAAACGTCATTTTCACCAACTGTGTAAAGGACGAAAACGTCAAGCAGGTGGGCCTTTTTCGTTTACGCCCTAATGTTTCTGTTCAGTACGTGCAGGGGGCAAGAAGCGGAGTTTCAGGAAAGAAGAGATCCTGGGTGTTGGTGTCCGGCTGCCACACGGGTGCCAGGGGGTCTCCCGGGGGCACAGCGGTGGGGGAGTGAGTTTTCCGAGCGCGAAGTGTGGGGTTGGAAGTGGTCAGGGTCTTGGAAGGTCTGGGAACTTATTTTCCCTAGTCGTGTTTGGCAGAATTGCACGGTCGATGTGAGTCTTTGTTAGATGGTAGTTGCAGTCACGGCCGTCCCTGGCCCCGGGACTCAGTCTGACGTCTGTGATCTGGACAAAGCCAAGGTCCCCAATGCCGGACACTTGAGTGTAGCAGAAATTAAGGAAGAAGCCAAGTTTCCCTGTGAAATACCGAGTAGAAGCCTGGATGTCGGGTCTGTGTTCTCTTAACTGAGGAATGAGAGGGGAGGTTGGAGCCCGTGATCTGGGAGTGTGAGGTGGCAGGAGGAGCCGGCTGGAGCACCGACAGACACCAGAGGGGCTCTGTGAGTGGCTGGTCTGTTGCAGGTCATCCCAATGGTCACGGAACTGATTGGGAGCAGCTGCCGCTACCACCGAAGAGAGGTTGGTTGGTGGGGCCCGGAGTGGGGACGTGGGCTGGGCCTGGCCTTGTCCTCCCGCTGGGTCAGCAGGGCTGTGTCCTGACCTCCCTTCTCCCTGAGCTGGCCTGGGCTGGGGGTCCCCTTGCCTGGGTTGGGCTGGGGTCTGAGGCTGCAGTGGCCCAGGTGGGCCCTGTGACCCTCCCTCCGCCTCCGCAGAACCTGGAGTACTGCATCATGGTGATCGGGGTCCCCAACGTGGGCAAGTCCTCCCTCATCAACTCCCTCAGGAGGCAGCACCTCAGGAAAGGTACGGGTGCCCCGTGGCTGGCGACCGATGTCTCCGTCGTTCCTGGAAAGGACGGGCCTGGGGAGCGTGGCCAGGCTCCCGCTGCTGTTCTGAGGAAGAGCTCACAGCGCCTCGGGGGCTGTCCCTCTCCACCAAAAGGACCCAGTAGGACGCAGTCCAGCCAGCGCTGGATGGTGGGAAGAGGCAGTCTGCTGTAAATTCTACGTCTAAGTTTTCTTTCCTTTAAAATCTTCGATAGAAGGATGACTTTTCTAAATTTGACAATTTTATTTTTTCATGTATTTAAATCCCTTTGATCAGAGAGTTCACAGTGGGGTGGAGTTGATGGGGTTCAGCTGTCTGGCAGGGAGGCCGACTTCCTGATGAGCAGGCGTGGTCGGGCCTGTCCCGCAGGCGGTGACCCGGGGCAGCTGCGTCCTCAGCGCCTGGGCGCCGTGGCCTCTCCTCTCAGCTTATTCTCAGGTTTTGATTCAAAACAGAAGCCCTGCCACTGTCACTCACTGTGTCCTCTGCTCTTTTTTCCCTTAAGCATTTTAAAGTTTTAATTCAGGTCTATATTGGCTTTGTTTTTCACATTAATATAGCATTTATTTAAAAACCTGTTCACAGTGTGCAAATCTAAAGGCCATAAACTATGTCGAACCATCGTTTTACAAAGAGGGTATTTTTGGTGCTAATTGGAGAGTTACAGCTATTTTTAAAAATTTTTCTTTAAGTGTGTCATTTTTTATCAGTGGCATTAAGTGTATTTATAGTGTTGTGCAACCAGTACACTCTACTTTCTCAAATTTTTTCATTACCCCAAACTGTAACTGTGTAAACATAAACAAGCCTGTGATCCCAGCACTGTGGGAGGCCGAGGCAGGAGGATCACTTCAGTCCAGGAGTTTGAGGCTGCCAGGAGCCGTGATCACATGACTGCACTCCAGTGGGTGACAGCGTGAGACCCTGTCTCTAAAGCCAAACAAAACAAAACAAAAACCCTGAGCAGTCACTTCCCACCCACCTCAGCCCCAGCCCCAGCCCGGGCCCCCCGTTCCGCTCCGTCTCTGACCTACGACTCTCAACCACCTCACACGGGGAATCGCAGTCTTTGTCCTTTCGTGACTGGCTTATTTCACCGAGCACAATATCTGCAACACTTGTCTGTGTTGTAGCCTGTGCCAGAATTTCCTTTTTAAGGCTGAATATATTCTGCTGTGTGTCCTGGCCACATCTTGTCCGTGTGGACACCTGTGTTCCGTTACTCTGGCGTTGGTCTGATAGCAGTTGAGCAGTCTGTCCTTGGCACATGCCCGCAGCTGGGTCCAGAGCACCCGTGGCATCTGGAGTCCAAGGGGGCTCCTGGGCAGGAGCCGGCTCCACAGACCTTGTGGCAGGGCCTGGGTCGGGAGGGGCAGGTCCAGGAGGAAGGAGCAGCTCTGGGAGCTCCTTTCCAGCACAGGGAGGTCAGTTCTGGTGCATTTGTTGAAGCCTCTTGACCTCTGGGTATCCTGGAACGTGCTTGTGCTGTGAGCTGGTTTGGGGCTGAGCGCGGAATGAATTTTAGCCTCGGGAAGCTTGGTTTCCGTTTTGGATCGACAGACGTGTTAGGCACATACGGATGTTTCATTGCTTGTTCTGTAGCTTCTGTGTCTACTGTACACTTGACAGCCCCCTTTCTGCCCTACAGGGAAAGCCGCCAGGGTGGGTGGCGAGCCTGGGATCACCAGAGCTGTGATGTCCAGAATTCAGGTGGGGTCCCTGGTGGCCAGAGCAGCACAGGTGTCCACGGTGGTGCCTGCTGAGCTCACGATGTGGCCGCCCTCCTCTGACCACGCCTCCCCCCCCGCCGGTGCTCAGCATGCCCCAGACCCTGCCCAGGTCCTTAGGCCAGACCTGAGGGCAGCACTCTGGTTGTCCCATTTCCAAGTGAGCAGAGCCCCTACCCAGGGCCACACCTCGGGCAGGGCAGAGCTGAGCGGAGCCCGCCCTCCATGCGTTCCCTTCGTTCTCCGTGGGAGGAGAAGACGAGCTGTTGGGATCTGGTGCTTTTATTTATTCTCCACATTAAGTGGGAAACACGCAGATTAATGATGTGGGGAACCCCAGAGCTTGGTGAAAGTGATGCTGCCACAACGGGGTCCCAGGTGCCTTCCTTGGCGCTCGGGCCTGCTGCGAGAGGCTGCCTGTGACCTGGTTGTGCCCTGTGTGCCTGCGCAGGTCTCTGAGCGGCCACTGATGTTCCTCCTGGACACGCCGGGCGTGCTGGCTCCTCGGATCGACAGCGTGGAGACGGGCCTGAAGCTAGCCCTGTGTGGTGAGCCCCTCTGCCCCACTATCGGGGTTCCACCTGCTGCCTTTGGCACGGGGCCCTGGACCGGCAGTCGTTACTGCCTTTGCCCTGGTTGCTGCCTGACACTTCCCAAAGCCCAGGGTGATAAAGCTGCCGTGGCTCACAGATAACGTGTGCCGGTCACTGTTCCCACCCTGTCCCGCGGGAGAGCACCCTTCACTCTCCCCATTTGACAGACAGGGCAGCGAGATCAGCTCACATGGCTGGGACACGTGCCAGGTGGGAGCGGGGGCCAGGACCACCGTTTGGGGAAGCTTTTTTCTCTCTGTGTGGCCTTCTCCTTAGGAGCAAGGTTGTCTTTGGGCTGAGACTGGGTGGTGTGCTCCAGCACAGATAGCGGGCTGCCCTCAGGCACTCACCTCTGCCTGCTTCCCCAGGAACAGTGCTGGACCACCTGGTGGGGGAGGAAACCATGGCCGACTACCTGCTCTACACCCTCAACAGGCACCAGCTCTTCGCGTGAGTGGCGCTGGGGCTGGTCGGGCCCCTCTTCCTTCTCTCTCTCCCTAGTCAGGTGTAATTTCTTAAAAAACAGCATTATAAAGGTATTATAAACAATAATCTGCACATTATTTAAAATTTGGTAAGTTTGGACATATGGCTGTATCTGTGAAACCAACACACAAATCAAGAAAGTGAACATACCGCAGCGCGGTTTCTCGTGCTCTCAGCATCACTCCTGCCCCTCCCTGCAGCCAGGCAGCCTCTGCTTCCTCTTCCTGGAGGTCGAGCTGCATTTTCTAGAGTTTCACATTAACGCCATCATACAGGATGTCCTCTCTTTTGTCTGGTGCCTTTCTTTTTACTTTTTTTTTTAAGGCAAGCACAAGGTGAAGTTTATTTAGTAAAGTAAGATAAGTTCGCCACAGACAACAAACGACCCCCTGTCCTAACAGGAGGGCCGTGTCTGCGTCTTTCACTCAGCGTAACTGTTTTGAGGTTTGTGCACCTGTAACGTGGATCAGTCAGTTCATCCCTTTTCACTGCTGTGTGGCGTGTCACTGGTGTCTCGATAGTGATTGCATTAAATCTGTAAATCGCTTTGGGTCGTAGTGACGTTTTAATAATATTCTTCCAATCCATGAGCATGGAATATCTTTCGTTTTTTTTTTCCTGTTCTCTTAAATTTCTTTCCTCAGTGTTTTATTGTTTTACTTATAGAGATCTCACTTCTTTGGTTAAATTTATTCCTAGGTATTTTATATTTTTGGTGGGTATTGTAAGCGGAGTTGCTTTCTTGATTTCTTTTTCAGATTGTTTGCTATTGGTATACATAAATGCTACTGATTTTTCTATGTTGATTTTGTACCCTGAAACTTTACTGAGTTTATCAGTTCTAACGGTTTTTGGTGGAGTCTTCAGGTTTTTCTAAATACAAAGTTATGTTGTTGGTTAAGAAGGATAATTTAACTTCTTCCTTTCCAATTTGCATGCCCTTCATTTCTTTCTCTTGCCTAATTGTTCCGTTAGGACTTCCAGTGTTACGCTGAATAGAAGTGGTGACAATGGGCATCTTAGAGGAAAGTCTTTCAGTTTTTTTCTCGTTCAGTGTGATGTTAGCTGTGGGTTTGTCATATATGGCCTTTATTATTTTGAGGTATGTTCTTTCCATACCCAATTTGTTGCGAATTGTTATCATAAAGGGATGGTGAATCTTAGCGAATGCTTTTTTAGCATCTATTGAAAGGATATGATTTTTGGTTTTGGTTGTTAATGTGATGTAGCATGTTTATTGATTTGTGTATGTTGAACTATCTGCATTCCTGAGACGAATCCCACTTAATCATGGTGAGTGATCTTTTTAATGTGGTGTTGAATTCTGTGTGCTGGTATTTTGTTGAATATTTTTGCATCTATGTTGATCAGGGATGTTAGCCTGCGGTTTTCTTTTTTTGTTGTGTCCTTGTTTGGTTTTGGTGGCAGGGTAATGCTGGCCTTGTAGAATGAGTTTGGAAGTTTCCTGCCTCTTCATTTTTTTTTTTTTCAGTAGTTTGAATAGGATTGGTATTCTTTAAATGTCTGGTGGAATTCAGCAGTGAAGCCATCAGGTCCTGGGATGTTCTTTGATGGGAGACTGTTATTATTGCTTTGATCTTGTTACTTGTTATTGTTCTGTTCATGTTTTTTATTTCTTCATGGTTCGGTCTTGATCAGGTGTATGTGTCCAGGAATTTATCCGTTTCTTCTAGGTTTTCCAATGTGTTAGTGTAGTAGTCTCTAATGATCCTTTGCATTTCTGTAGTAGCAATTGTGATGTCTCCTTTTTCATTTCTGGTTTTATTTATTTGGGTCTTTTCTCTTTTGTTCCTAGTTAGTCTAGGTAAAGGTTTATTGACTTTGTTTTTTCTTTTCAAAAAACCAATTTTTTGTTTCATTGGTCTTTTGTATTTTTTTAGTCTAAATTTCATTTATTTCTGTCCTGATCTATATTATTTCTTTTCTTCTACTAATTTCAGATTTGGTTTGTTCTTGCTTCTCTGTTTCCTTGAGGTACATTGTTAGGTTGTTTAAGTCTTTCTGCTTTTTCGATGTAGGTGTTTATTGCTATTAACTTCCCTCTTAGTACTGCTTTTGTTGTATCTCCTAGGTTTGTGTTTTTATTTGCACTTGCTTCAAGAAAGTTTTAAATTTCCTTCTTAGTTTCATCATTGACCCATTGATCATTCAGAATCGTGTTTAATTTCCATCTGTTTTTGTAGTTTCCAAGTTTCCTCTTGTTACTGATTTCTAGTTTTATTCCATTGTGGTCAGAAGAGGTACCTGATATGATTTTAGCTTTTTAAAATTTGTTGAGACTTGTTTTGTGGCCTAACATATGTTCTATTCTAGAGAATGTTGCATGTGTTTATGAGAAGAATGTATATTCTGCAGCAGTTGAGTGAAATGTTCTGCAAGCGTCAGTCCTGTTAGTCTAGCATGTACTTACACTCTAATGTTTCCTTGTTGATTTTCTGCCTGGGTGATCCGTCCGTTACTGAGAGTGTAGGTGTTGAAGTCCCCTACTATTACTGCATTGCAGTCTATGTCTCCGTTTAGAGCTATTAATGTTTATTTTTATGTATTTGGATGTTCTAGTGTCGGGTGCATATATTTACAATTGTTTTATCCTCTTGATGAATTGAACCCTTTATCATTATATAATGGTGAACTTTTGTCTCTTTTTACAGTCTT